GACCCGCGCGGGCCTGGGTGGCGGCCGGACCTCCCCCGTGGGGGTCAGCCCGGGGAGGGGGTGGGAAGGACGAGGAAACTTCTCATTCTTGCCGTCGCGGAGGGATAAAACAGTGCCTCTGGCCTCCTGCCGAGGAGGTGTTCTATCGTCATGGTGGCATTTAAACTTGTGAAGGGGTATGAGCAGCCTTGCCCATCCGAGGGACTCGGACCTGCGGTTTGTTTTGGGATTTCTCATTTCTGTGGTGTGAGGGTTCCCCCCACCTCGAATTCGCTGGGATTTGTTTGTTTTAAGTGAGTAGGAGGGACTGAGAATAAGATGTTCAGTATCGTGTGCCATGGTAAAAATTCTCTGTGTTTTAAAAAGTTTAGGGCCTAAACTTGCCGAAGGATTTGAATATATTGGTAGCTGTGACTCATGGACAGGAAAGTATATTGCACTGGCTGTAATTATAAGTGAATTTAAATGCCTTATTAAGGTGCAGCTTAAGAGTAGCATATTGAAAAATTTTGACTGAGTGAAAATAGGGTTAATATATTTGGGTTTGAGGAAGATAAACTCTAGAGCTTCTGTCTTTTACCTATAAAAGGATGAAAGTTTCAAACAAATAGTGTGGAGGTAGAAACGTGTGTAAGTATAAATTATTGAGTACTGAAAGATTAAAACATGCATGCAAATCTCATAATCTTGATCAGATCCTTACTTGCCTTAAAATAACTTTACTAAAATAAAGGAGGCTTGTTAAGAGGATCTTTTGGGTTTCATAGTTAATTGTCATGAGAAGGCAGTTTTGTCGTCATGGGACAGGTGTTTGTTTTACTGGACACTTGTATGTACTTGTAAGATACAAGATGTGTTCTGTGGTAAAATAAACAAGATGCTTTGGTGCTATTGTTTATAGACATGATCTATCAGATGATGGGTTGTGTGCCTTCCTCTAATTACTTCTTTTATTCAGTAGAGAGTGTCTTATTGCTGAGAAGTCTGGCTGTTTCCTTCCACACAAGATAAAAGGTCTGACGATTGTGCACCCTCAGTTCCACTTGAATTTGATGGGTTATTTCTTCTCTGTCAAGTGACAGCTAACAGGGAAGCCAGTAGGAAGGTCTGAAGTTTGTGTTGCCTTGGATTTGTGGTGTCATGTGGTGTAGATCTACTACTGAGGCTGCTTTTGTTGTCACTACTTTTGATAGCAATTCTTAACTTAAAAAGAAGTATTCCCACATCACTGTAGACCTTTGGTTGAGGTGTGTCTGAACAAACAAGAAACAGGCTTAGGTCACTCTTGGCTGTTTTTATGTATTAATGAGGAAACAGTGTCTGCAATGTGCTATTACAGTCTCTTGCCCTAAAGGTCAAGAGGTCTTTTGCATGCTGTTAGAGTTGTGGCGTATGAACTTGCAAAAAGAACAGGAAAAGAGCTGTTTTGAACCTTAGATCTAGGACTTCTGCTTTGAAAGAAGGCTGTGTCTGAGCTTCTTGAAACTTTTTTCGCAGTTGTCTGTCATCAGCTTGGTGATACCCAACGTTGACTAATTTTTGACTCTGAGGTAGGTGGCTTTTCCTCATCTGTTAAAAATAAATGGGAGAGGTCAACCTCTGAGATAGAGGTGGCTCTCTTGAAACGAGTGGGCAGCAGATAACAGAGCCAAAAAGAGAAAGCTGACCTCTGGACTTCTGTTTTCTTGATACAAGTGTTAGAACCCATGTGTGGCAAAAGTGACTTATGGTGTTTCCCTCTGCCTCTGAATTTGAGTCTCTTGTCTCTGCTCCTAATTATGACTAGTTATTTTCTGTACGTACTGTAAACTAGAAAAGCCTAAGTCTTGCTTACTATGCTTCGTTTGATCTGTAGATTCTGTAGGAATTAGAACTTCAAATGGCATTAGCATATGCAAAAGCTGGTAAGCCTATAAAGCTGTTGGTAAATATGTATTCTTGGGGAGACTCACCCTCTGCATCAGAAGCTGCTATCTTAGTGCTCAGGATTTGTAGTGCAAATATTTAACTCTAGCTGTTTGCTTCTTCTAACCAGTTTAACCCTTACAATACCCATCGAGCCAGAAAATTTCCCTTAATCAACAAAAGCTTACAGTAGATTGTGTCTGGACACTCAAGAGTCCTGTTAAGGGGAAGAGTGAGCACAAAGCTCAATAATCACATATTTCTTTGTGGTTCTGTTTGGCTGCCTCAATATTTTACCTAAAATGAAAGCTGTCTAGCAGTGTGTACAGATGCTGAAGTTACTGGATGTAGAAAAATCTGGTAGTGCAGAAGCTAGTGTAAGCTTCCTTTCCTAAGTCTGAAAAGAGACCCGATAACAAAGTTGCTCTGATCTTCACAATGGATCTCTTTCTTTGCTCCAGTCTAGAGAGAAGGTAGAGGAAAGAGGAAACATTGTCTTGTTTCCCTCATTGAGAGGTGAGGGAGAATGTCTGCTTAGGATCTGTATGGATCTTCGCAAGTTTACTAGGCTAAATTCCAGTTTGAGAAATCTGCCATGGAATTTCTCATTGAGATGATTTTCTGACTGTCTGCAGTATGAGTTTATAGAACTGTCAGAGTTAAGCATGTGCTGCAGCATCCTCAGAACGGTCTACCTGTGATATGGAGCAATGCTTGAAAAGAAAGCGAGATATATTTTACTTGACAGCTCTTCTGTTTCATGAAGTGATGGGAAACTCTGTGAAAGTCTGTCCTTCATTATTTCTGGTAGTGACCCATATTGGAACTTAGGTGGTTAATCAGATTATTTTAAGAGGCACTTTAGGGTTGAGTCATTCCTGTCAGAAATATTGCTGCTTATTCCTGAGAACTGTCTAATTATTGAACTTGTTCAGGCTGTGTACCTTCACATTCCCATTTTGTTCTGCTAACAGCAGTGTCTCCATTCTGGAGTTTTATTTCTGCTTTTCTCAGGCTTCCTTTTTATTTTACAGTGGTGTTCCAATTAATCAGGTTCAGTAAACCAGTGTCCTTTACAAAATATATGTCTTTATCCTGGTCCTGTTCTGCATGTGTTTTGAAATAGTATCAAAACAATGTCCTTATTTAGAGGAGTGTTTACTGGTTATGATTTCAGGTAAGCGTCTTTCAGTGCTATCTGTAGTTTCAGTTTGGTACCTTATCAGACTTAAGTCATGGTATTCCAGAGGTTGTGTTAGAATTATTCAGTCTTTTCCATCTTATTGCAAGAAAAAGGACTGTTTTGGACCACTGTAACACATTGTATTTTTAATATAGTCTCTTCAGACAGATACTGGATATTAATATCTCTCCACCGTATACAAAACTACTGTTGAAATTTTGTGTCCCCATGTAGCATTTGCAGGTAGAACGGGGTTTGCACCAGCTCTGAGTGGGAGGAGATTTTGCCCCAAACAGATAGCGGGCTCTTATGTGCTGTGATAGCCTTCATACATTAACAATTTAATTCAGGTGATATGGCTGACTCCGGTATACTTTTGCTTCTCTGCTGGAAAGAAGTATCTTCTGCCTCCACTGAAAAAAATCCCCTGCTGCTAAACTGGGTTTAGAAGCGACTATGAAAGACTTGAAAAGGTTGCTGTCTACAGATAACTGCTGTTGATGGGAGAGGACTTCATTTTCCCGTCTAAACCAGAATGGATGAAAAGATACTACCTGTGAAGCTTTTGACAAGTTGGGTATATGCGGAAAGTGAATGTATTAGAACACACAATAGTGCTTCAAAAGCATAAGATTTTAATATTAAACACACTTCTAGCTAATGCCTAGACAGCTGATAACCTTTTAATAAGATAATTTGTTTGTACACAGAATTAACCACATAATGAGGTGTTCAGTTCAAACCACAAGTAGTTGGGTTTTTGTAGATCACTAGGCATTCTCTAGTGTGGTTGAGACCTTTGTCTTGCAGCATATGGATGCCAGGTATAAATAAAAACATGTACAACTTTATCTTGATAATATGTACTTTTCTAACTAGAATTATATATACTTGGCCTTTTTAAAAAAGGCAGTCAAGTAACTATTATCAAACATAGCTTATGCAATAGAAATTGAGAAGTTTAGTCTTGTTTTATTAAGCAAACAAAACAAAATACTGAAAGTGTGAAGATTTTAACTTCTCTTTCTATGCCAAGACTGTAATTGGAAAAGGAATATTGCAGAAAGGTGTAGGTATCTTTTGTGTCTGGAGGATGTACGAGATTTCCTTCTGACACCACAGCTTAGTTCTGCTATGTGTGAAAGGCTGTAACCAGTAGTTCATGACTTTGCAGACAGTTATTCTGTCCCCTCAACGTATGAAGTGCACCTAAAATATCCTAGGAAGCCACAATGGTGGGCCTCAAATATAAATGCTGGCTTATGTTGATGTTTTAATATACAGGAAACTGCACTTATTTCAAATGAGTTACTCATGTGAGTTAATGATATAATAGTTTTGGAACTGGGACTTTGTGGTCCTTGAGAGTTGTCTCTGCACTTTGATAATTAAAAAAAGTTTGATAAAAAAATATAATTCTTCATACTCACCACGCTTCCTCCTGTTTACTGTTCAGGAGGTTTCTGTAAAAGACTGGAAGATACCTGTTGATTTTTATATGTTTTCTTATATTCACTAATTTTAAACAGACTAATTTAGAGTAGGGCTACTTTGTAACAGGCATTTGATGGCACAGGATGGTTGCCTTTGATTTGTGTTGCCCGTGATATTTACTTGGTGTCAAAATTGGAGTATTGCTAGTTGGCCTTACCAGAGACTTTTCTTATGCTGCAAGAAGCAAGAGTATGTGCTGCTATTCTTTGTTCTGGTTTGGGGTTTTTTTGGGGGGTGTGAGGGTGTATCTGGTGGGGGTACAGGGTGTGTTAAGATTTTGGGTTTTCTGTCAAAGCTTTTTGTCAAATGAGGAAAAAAAAGGGAGTGATGCAGAAGGTGTATTCTGTTCTGGAAAACAAGGTTGCACTTCCAAATTCATTGTGGCAGTCTGTCTACAATGGAACTCTGATTTTACAGGAGTTAGTAATGGAACTGATCAACTGCGATCAGACTTATTCAGACTAGGATGAACGTGCAGGTGTTTTATTCCCATGCCAGGGAATATTGTGTATTGATGATGTTGACATCCTCAACGTGAATTAAAAAATATAATTGCTAGGAGTAACAAAGTATGATCGTGTCCTGAGCACTCTGTAATACTGCTGTTGCTCGCATACCAGCAAAAAAGGCTATG